AGCAAGTAGGTATAAATTAGACTTTTACTAAGAATGCACTAACATAACACTAATTATTCCTTTGAAATAAAGAAAGAGAATATACATATACAGATTGCTTATCAACTATTTGCAGGTTATTTAGAGCCATAAAATATTTTTTTTAGATTGTAAGAATTTTTGGAGATAATAATGATTTTCATTGATACAGGTTCTATTAATTAACCCACATCTGGAGGAGAAGAGATGAATTCATACTTACACATAAGTGAATATAAAAAATTTGACTGGAATTAGAACACAGCTCTCTGATTTACAATTCTGAGCCATTATCTATTAAACCACCCACACATCCAAGCTAATAGTATCTTATATTCCCAAGCAGTCACTCATCTAGGTACTGACCAGGTTCAACATTGTTTAACTGCTGGTGATTATATAAGAACCAGTGTTTCAATCTAATATGTCCCTGTTGCATTGCAACTCTGACCAAACATCAGATTCATTGACAGGGTTCAGTTTATTCCAGTTAAATGCTTGTGGCTTAAAAATTACCCTTTGGCCAGATTGTTACCCACGAGTGAAAAACAAAACAATTTCTAGCAGTATACCAGATTTTATTCTTAGGTAGTAATTTATTGCTGTAGGCAAGAAAAGTAGGATTGAGGTGTAAGTGAGGGGCATAGTTCAGCAGTCGTCATCTATGTCCTTCTGCAAGGCCCACTTCATTCCTTCTGTGGGCCTTTTCATGGGATGGTTAGTTTTATAGACAAGTTTTCTTTGTCTGATCTTGATCTAAAAAAAAAGTAATTAATCTTCCTTCTGTTACTTTCTCACAGTCTGAGCCTCTTACTCTCGTACTCTGAAGTTGACTCCACTTACTGATAACCATCAGTCAAAAGTAAATGTCCCATATCAAGTTGTGTGACAGGTCCTGCTGTTTTAAATTTAACAAGACCTCAGTCTGATTCATATTGCTACATCCATAAGCCCTATAATTTTCAAAAGCACAACTTGTCTGTGTAATTAAATTCTGTCTGTGGTTTTTATTTTGAAATAAAAAGTGAAATAGAAGATGAGGTATTTTTATTTCTGTGTTTATTCTTAATTTTACCTCACATTTACAGAATCTTAATATTTCCTTAAGTATTACATAAAGTAAGACATGTCTTTAGCCATGCAGGTCAATTAACAGTGAACCAAGAAGAATATGGAATCAGCAAGCCAATTTCAAATTCTAGCTGAGTCTGTGTTAACTTTTATTTTTAAATAATACGGTAGACTAGGTTTTCTAACCTTGGTTGGTAACTAGTTAAGGTAAACTCTGAATTCAAAACAGTAGAAATGACAATGGGAAACTATTATTTCAATGAACAAATATTGCTTAACAGAGAAATATTAAAGAAAACAAGTTGTGAGGGATGGAACATAAGCATGAAAGGAGTATTTAAGGAGTTAGAAGATTGGTTTCTTCATAAGATATACTCACATTTTTGTTGTTAGATTTACAAACTTTGGAAAATATATGCCTCTTCTTAATAGTTTTTAATGTTTCTTGTCTTTTTTTCAAAATGCCATATCCCCTCAGAATGATGGCTCTCCACGGATTCATTTTCCTTATAATATGAGAATTGCTGTAACTTTCTTTGAAAAGACAATATTTTCTCATTGTTTAATCTACATTTTAAAATTCAGAGTTGTCTTTCTCTTAGATTGGGTGCTACCCAAGATGAGCAAACCCAATCCACCCTGTGATTTAATCAATAAATTTGAAGTGTCTATTTTGTTTGTATTTATTAATTTCCAACATCACTTCATCAATATTGTCATCATCATAGCCATGTTTTTTGTTGAGGCTGGACTAGGATTAATCTCACACAAATCAAGGTGTGTTCTACCTGAGAGAGAATCTCATTTTACCTCTCCACATATGCCTGTCAGAATACTGAGATTTGTCATCATAATTTCAGTCAAGGTTTTTATTGTGGGGACCTACCTACAAATGGACTCTTCCACACCTATATAATATGGCTACCAACTCTGAGTAAAGGGAGTCACCAAGTGAGGGTCACCAAGTAGTAGCCATAGAGTGAGTGACTGAGTGAGTCAGGACACTAGTGAGAGAAAGTACTCTCCAGTCCACATTTACCTTTGTACTACGTTTCCAAGAATATACTATTTAACCTTATATCCGAGTCCGTGTTATCTTTCTATGGTTCCACACCATAACAATTTTACAAGCCCAGATGCCCCTCCTGATGCCTAACTCACTCACTGTAGTCCAAGTACATTGAGTGATTTTTATCAAGACACCATCTCCAGAAGGGTTGCCATTCAAAGCTTGAGACCCCATCCTATGAAAATATATATGATGATGATGAAAGCGGAGACTTTAGAAACCCATGGTAATATTTTATTTTGGAAGACCAATTCCTCGGTTTCATCTCATCAGACCAAACAGTTTTAACAATAAATGTATTTAAAAATTCATCCAGGCACAAGTAAAAAACACAATATTTAAACATAAGATGTGCTTTAAAATAAAGTTTTAATATGGAAGAAGGGAAAAAGAGAGAACGAGAAAGTTCTTACATTGAGCTCTCTTTGGATTTCTATCCTCTTTGGAATTATCCATACAAATTATCAAATATTTTTATTATTATTATATATATATATATATATATATATATATATATATTTTACTAGTCGAGATACCCGGCATTGCCTGACTGTACATGACTGAAATTGTATAACAGCAGCTCCCTTTATACCTGCACCCCACTGCCTAGAAATGACTGCCTACATCCCTGCTATGCATGCATCATCTGTTGTTATACTAAACCTCATCATCTTTTTTATAGTATGACTTTCACAAGTGTTTGATTGTTCTTAATAATGAATTCCATCGATAAAACCTTCTTGTGTGGTCATTGCTCAGGATTAAATTGTTTCAATGTTTTAGATATTCAGTAAATTTCTTATAGCCATAATAACATTCAAATAGTATGGCATTGTTCACAAATCTAAAAATCTAAGAAAAACAGGAATGATGCATCAGAGCTTGATTTAACTGCAAGTGCAAATATATGAATGCCCCCCTCCTTCTTTGCACATTCACTGTAAAACTGGGTTTAATAAGAGCTTCTTTTGGAATTTTTCCCTTTTAATGCTTCAGTAATCCTTCTCAAACAATCTTTGCATCAAATGTTGTTTGAATGCCAATTTAGGATGGAATCATATGAAGAAACTATTGGCTAAATGGCAAAGGCCAATTTTGGACTTAGTTTGATTGCATCCACTTAACTGAAATAATCAAAGCCAAACATTCACAGAAGACAATTTGTGTGTCCTATGTGTCCTCCACATGGCAAATTTAGAAATCATTGGATGAAAAACCAAGGAGTTATGGCTTTTTGAACAGTTTTTTATTATATGCAGGGAAGTGAGCAGGACTAACACCACACTTATTTTTTGCATGATGGCAAATTTTTGTGATGTTTGAAGAAAATTGGATAAAAAATGAGGAAGTTATTCAAGATTTTATTTTAGGTAGTACAAAAAAAAACAACTTTTTTCATAGTCTTTTGCATTTTTTTGTATGAAGCTAATGTCACAGGAAAACTATGAAAAAACTCTACATAATCCTCATAACATGAGCTATGTTTTGCTTTAAGTGCGAAAAACACCAGTTTATCCAGTAAAAATTTTGTTCGCATGTAACTTTACCTTGTTTTTTGCAAATGTTATACCCACCTTCAGTTTTATCAATTTTTCTGACAAACCCAATGAGCCTGGAGAGTGTAAAGTTGATCTTAACTGAGTAAGTAAATTTGCAACATATGTGTTCAATTTTATCAAAATCAGTCGAGAAATGTGGATATGTATAAATAGCATGCACACACAAACACACCCAGATAGCTTCTGTTTTTCTAACCTGTTATTGAGCACTTCTTAACACGTATGATTTTAAATAAACTATTTTAGTGTTTATTTACTTTGTTTTATATATATATATATATATATATATATTAAAAAGAAGAGAAAAACCACAATTGTTTTTGGTTGTAATGTGGAATTTTTTTAAATATGTTATGCTTTATTTTCATATATATATATATATATATATATATATATATATATATAAGTGGACAGTGAGTTCAACAACCAGCAGTGACAGAAGCTCATCTGCCATTTGACAAGTATTTTTTTTTTCATCCTGTGGGGTATCACAAGCAGAAAAAATAGTGGGGAAGCTGATTCAGACACCAACTCCTACTTCAACACAATTTTTTTTCCTCCAATAATTATTCAGTTATTTTATATTTCTATTTGAAAAGAAAAGTATGCAATAAAATTATTGTTTGTTTTTTTTTAGAATGTCATGTTCCTTCAAGACATGTTGATTATGGCTCTTTACAAACATCTTTTTCTTCATAATTTTGAATTGCCATATCTTCTTGAGAAAGATACTGGAGTAGTTTTCTGTTGCCTTCTCCATGGATTCTAATCGAGTTGTCTTTCTCTTAGTTTGGTTGTCATCAAAGGCTAGAGAGCTCAATCTATGCCACCAGTTCACATATACCTGTGGGAAGAACAGTTTCAAGCCTTTCTGAATGTATTTGTGCAAAATTAAATGCTAGCCTGGGATTTGAACTCAGCTCTCTGATTCCACTTTCCACACTGCTATCTATTAAGCTACCTGCATATCACTATTGATTAATAAAATATATATATATTTAATCCATCCCAAGCAAGGCAATAATGTCACTAAGACACAAGGTGCTACAGGAAGTGAAAGAGGAGGAAAATATGTTAGCAGGAACCAGAAACCCAATCCTAAACAGGAAACAAGGCATAATCCTCCTGTTCAAAAGACTGGAGAGAAGTGTGAACTGGACAATAGGTGAACCAGTTCACACGCCTCCAAGGTTTTTTTGATTTACCAGATCTTGAGAAAATTTGATATTATTTCAGACAACTTGTCAGGAAGCATTTTACTCAAAACAATACAAGAATTACTTTCCTATACAATCACTGAAGTGAAGCAATATTGAGCCTGGTCAGTACTTAAATGGGTGACCACTTGGGAATACTAGGTGCAGTAAGCTTGGTTATGCAGGTAGTATAATGGATAATGACTCAGAGTTGTTAATGAGAGAGCTGAGTTTCAATTCCTGTTGGGTTTGTTAAATTCACTTATGCACAAATACCCTTGTATATAAATCCACCTCTTCTACCCTCCAGTTAGTAAGACTTGTATCACTAAAACTCCAGTTAGTAAGACTTGTATCACTAAAACTATTATTAATTTAAAAAATGCATACAAAATATTTAAATTTCAGCATTAAATAACCCATAGAGGCCGATATGTCACTAAACAACCAAACAAGAATTATTTCTATTGGTTTAACATGATTTAGTTAGTAAATTACAATTATTAGAAATTACTCATTACATTGTATTTTTTCTCTTTTGCAAGACTAAATTTTCCATAAGGCATAGACTGGATGTTATTTCTTTATTATTGAATGTTATTGGTTTTTCTTATGACAATAAAATAAATTGATTGGTAAATACACTAACAGTAGAATGAATATATTTTGTAGCAGATTAGAGAGATTTGTATACTCACATATTTTCTACAGCAATAATTTTGTTTTCAGCGATGCATGAGGTGTTACATACATTACAGGTAGAAATAAATGTATTATATAGATTTACACTCTTGTGTATAATAGATATTTCAAATGCACAATAGAACTGATCTTCATAAACATGGAATGTGAGAGACTTGCCCAAGGGCTACAGAGCTAAAACCAATAACGCTTATAATGACTTGAGACATTAAGGACCTAACTTCATAAGCCCCAAGACTTTGTCATAAAATCAATGAATTCCTAATTCCCAACTTTAATGATAAATTCAGCAACTTTCAAATGAAAGATTTACTTTTATTTTGCCTACAGCCATTTTTTCAAACAACTTTCCTGCTTACACTCTGGGCAAGAAACCTCATAGGTAGGTTTTAATCTGCTGCTCATGATGAGGATAACACCCTGTCATTTTTGACTTTCTTAATCTAGCTGTGCTTGACTTCATAAACTGACATGTGTGAATATTTAAATCTTTTACATCCCGAGCGATAAATATTTAACATGTATTTTAAAAAGTGAGCAGTTCAGAATACTCCAACTACAGTTTCAAAACAGTAATTCAACAGGATGATAAATTCACATGTCAAAAAGTGTCCCTCATAATTTAAAATAACAAATGAAGATATTAGTAAATTATCAAATTCTGGTAATGTTTTTATGAATGACAGTTCACAGGTAATTTTCCCTAAGCTTTGAGAAAAAATGGTTATACATGTACAAAATCTTTTCTTTGAAATACTTGGAACCAGGCATTTTCAGAATTTGAAATGTCTAACATAAAAGAGGACTAACCATCGACTGCATGAAGACCTAAAGTATGGTCATCAGCAAGAGAAAAAGCTCAAGATGGGAGTTACTAATTGGAGATATAAACATCAAGCAGTTGGATCATAAAATCGCACATGTGACAAGAAACCCTTTCCAATTTCTTTATAAGTTGCATCATGGGAAAATTCATTCATTTATTTATTTTTTTATTTATTGGTTTTACTTCATTTTCCCACAGCCTAAAAATAAAAAGATTTAAAAATGTGAAAAGTGAAATCTTGACTGGACATCTGAATAACAAGTAGATATGACAATGGAGCAAGTCTGAAAATACTGTTAATCGTCAAATTTGCAATAACCTTCACAATAATTTAGTCAAACATATCACTGCACCAGGGTTAGTGTTCTTTTGACTTCAGAGTCAGCTCAGTTTTCAGACCATGGAATGGAGGGTAGAGGTTAAATCTATATGTTTTTTGGAGGATGAGAAGTTATCATTATTCACATTATTTACCTGTGAAATATTGTCCTCATATTTGTTGTTTTGGCTTTTGACCCAGGGAACTTTAAACTGAATGCTTTATTCAGTCTATAGGGGTAGATCATTCTCATTCCATTGAACATGTCTCTTATTTGGTATTGCTTGCCAGTTCAAGTACGCACTGCCTATCACAAGGATTGATTTCACAAATACTTTATCACCAAATTCATGAACGAATGTTCCACTATATCATTCCATAGGACAATTCTAAGTGAAGAATTTGAAGCCTTCAACCTAACCTGTCTGTTGATAAATTCTGATGCCTCACTGAAGCTTCTCTTTTTCTCTGTGACTGCTGCTGCTAAAGCCTTGCTGTCATTTCTCTTTCTTTCTTTATTAATGTCTCCCATATTATATTTTCTTCTATTCTAGGTATACTATGGAGGCCGTCTTAGCCTGATGCATGTGTGTTTTGTTGAAATTATTCCGTTCTTATGAGTTAAGAATATTAAAACTTGCTATAAAAACTTTTTTATTACCTTTAATGATTTATGATGACAGGTATGTACCACCTGGTATGAATGAGTTGACCATACATAATATCCAATCAGTCTTCTTTCTTATACAAAATTGAATCACTAATGAAAGTGTATAAATTAGTGACAATAAAAGCTAACATTAACCTACTTTGTGGAAACAATTAATTCTGTCATTGAATTACATATTTGAATCCAGTATTTAATTAGAGACATGTTGAATCGTTAATTCCAAAGGTAGATTTCACCTTCTAATAAATAACTTTGTGGTATTTTGACTTTTTAGTAATGTTAATTTTTCCATCAATGGACAAGATTCCTAATTTACTTTTTGGTTGATTTCTATTTATATCAGAGAATCTGTCTATACTTCTGTGATGAGGTATTTTAATATATTTACACTGTTTACATTGTTTGGTCTGTTGTCTTCATCTTTATTGTCATATTAATAACATTTCGACCATTGTACACTCCAGGCTTCTTCAAGTGATACTTGTTGAATTTCAAACTGAACCCTTTATTTTGTTCACCATGGTAGATTGTCCTAGTTCCACTTGCCATGACTTTTCTGGATATCTCAGTTTCAGTTAATTCCCTTTAGTAACTCAACTACTGTGACCAAGTATTGAACTCACAACTCTTTAGGTAAAGTCAATGGATTACTTCAACCAATGTTTTTTATCTACTGGGCTATGTATCCCTAAGGACTACAGTGGATAAATGCTAAAGAAGTCTGGAGCATACAATGGCTGAAATGTTGTGGATAGGACAATAAAGATGAGGACAACAGTCCAAACAATGTAAATAGTATCAATATATCAGAAAAGTTGCTTTCTTTGTTTTTATTCAGTAAGTAAGATATTACAGTTTCTTCTATTGAGCCTTCATGACAGAAGTAACTTGTGGTTTACACATGAGATTAAACAACAGCAAGTTGCTTGAATACTCCAACACACTTCTTTCAGTAAGGTTTTCATTAGAATGATCTTGATGCTTCCCCTGATTTCTACTTCCTCCATCTTATTTTCTGAGGCTCTCTGGAACTATTCTTAGAGCTCTGATAATGACTACTACAACTGTCACCTCCTTTAGCTCCCTTCAGATTTGCACTGGTCTGCTGAAACAGTGAAATCTTTCAAAATCTAGCATTTTCTTCTTGTTTACAATTACCAGATCCTGTCCCCTGGCCTGGATTAGGTGATTCATTTGAATCAAAGTTACAAAGGATTTTATGTTTTATTTTCTAATTCGATTCTCATCTGTGCATATTACACTGTAGGATCAAAATATGATTATTTGCATTGCTCCCAGTTCATCACTTTTCCTATCCAGTCATACTTATTCTTCTATTTTTATCTTAACCAATTTGCTACATTCACTGAATATGTGCTTTTTTAGTTATACTAAAGCTTACCTAATACTAGGCTTGAGATCCACTCAAGGTAAAGGGTTACTGTCAACAAAATGGTAATACTGATGTGAATGGAAGAATGTGATAAGTAATAAAAAAGCTGTCTGAGTAAAACTTACACAAATTTACAAATCTTCCCTGTATGTCAAATGTAAGGTCTGAACTGATGGAAATAAAGAATAACAAATAAAGATTGTCTTTATTTCCACACAGTCTAAAGTTGCTATTCTTCAGTGTTTGATGCAGGGTGCGATGGAGAAATTGTCATCTAAATTATGCAAAAATGAAAATAACACTGACATCTCATTTTAACAGATATATTTATCAAAGATTTTTACATTTTTTACATTTGAATTTTTACATTTATTACTTTATTTATTACAATTATTTTACACAAAAATATCTTGAAATACTAATGAGTAAATTTATTCTATAAAATCACCACTGACTTCAACCACAGCCTCCAGATGACTTCAGAATCTCCTGCAACTTTTCTGGATGGTCTCCTTGATTAAGTTGGTGAATGCTGTAACAATCATTGTCTTCAGTTCATCTTTGGTTTTACAAGGATTTTTGTTCGTCTTTTGTGCAACTGTGCCCCACACATAATAATCAAGGGTGTTACCATCTGGAGAGTTAGGTGACCAAATGTGATGTGGTTGTAGAAATTATCTGACAGACATGACTTGTTCTCCTACTTGCGTGGCATGGTGCAGAGTCCTATTGCCAGACATAGGGTCTTCCAGCAGCCAATCTCTTGACCCAGGGCAGTGCTACCTCCACAATGTACTTGATGTAGGCCTCCATGTTAAGTCTGAGGCCCTCACCAACAAATTCAGGAGATCTTATCAGAGCAATCAGAATGAGTTTTCCAAGCTGCCGTACCTTCATAATCACCATTAGACTCTTTCCAAATCATCTGCACTGTCTTCAGATTGACAATCAAACACTCTGAAATGTTTGTATTGGAACTTCTGGCACAAATGCCAAGCAGTACAGCATGCCATTTCCAAATTTCTAGTGGAGTGAATTGCATCTTAGACATTTTTTCTCACAGACTGTGCCTTTTTTGACCTTACTATACTCTCCAATCAACAAAATCAAAAACGAACAATGTACATGCATGAAATTAAGAATATAAAATGGTAACAATTTACCCTGTATAATCATTGTGTTATGGCATTGATTTGGTCCATTTTTCTTAGTTTCTCTCTTTAGATAGTCCTGAACTATGTTCATGATGATTTATCTGCTAT